CTAAGATCCCACCAGCCCTCTCAGTACAGTAAGGAATTTTAGCAACAATGGTTTATAATGTTTAGCCCTGCAGGTTTGAATTGACCCAACAAAACAGTTGTAAAGTTAAACTAGTAAAGATATATAGATAGAGATAATCTCTTAGCAATTTTACTATGAGATTCATTTGTCTTACGTGATCTCACTTGACCTATTTATATGGTATCTTTTTGCTAATTGGGTCTTTAATGAAATATGTTTTGTACCAATACCTTTTCCAAGATATGAGAATTGTGAGTTTAAATGCCACTTGTAGTAGGATGAATAATTTTCTATGTAAGGGTAATTTGGAAATACCTTTGACTAAATTAATGTCAGCTGATTAACGTGGAGTTTTATTTTATGTTTTAAATTCATGATGTTGTAACTATTATTATCGTGTTTCTATATTTTCTTGTATTGTAAATTCTGGGAAATCATTGTGTAAGAAATGTTAAGGGAATGGTAATTTTATTTCATTAAGGATTTTAATTTTTTTTATTTGGATACTGTGAAATTATTAAGTAAGTTACTGGGGTTATTGTGTAAGACCTATAAAGCATTCAATTGGACATATTTTAAAAGGGAAAAATATATTATAATTGCTTACTTTTGGAAAAGAAAAGGAATAGGAGAAAGACCTTGTAAAAAAAAATCTTCTCATGTATAAACCTGCCAAGTTCTGACTGAACGAGGTCATGCAAAGCTTATTAGACCTGTGAAAAAATTACTAAATTGGTTTATTTAGAAAACAGGATCCCCCTCCACATTACAAACACTCCTCGAATGAGTGGGAATTTTTTCAAGTTTGTGTATGGTACAGAAGTTATTTGTGATTATGAAAATTATTAATTTATATCTACAATGATGTATACTGGAGTTACGTCTTTGACTTACTTAGTCTTTTTCTCTTTTTTGGGGGGGGGGTAGGCAATGGGGTTAAGTGATTTGCCCAGGGTCACACAACTAGTAAGTGTTATGTGTCTGAAGTTGGATTTGAACTCAGGTCCTCCTGAATCCAGGGCCGGTACTCTATTCACTGTGCCACCTACCTGCCCCCTTACTTAGTCTTACCAGACCTTAGTCCTAAAGGTTTTATTTTGTTCTAGGGGTTAATATACAATACCTTAAGAGATGACTATGTGTTAGTCTGTGAATAGATGTCAGCTTTTTCTGAAAGATTCTTTTTGAATAAACTATCATATATTCACAATCTATGTGAATTTACATAATATAATTGCTTTGTTAAATTCTACTAATGACTTTTTCCATTAGAACAAGTTTTAAGCTGTATTTGAAAAAGGGAAATAATAAAAAAATGAATTTTAAATAATCTTTTGTGTAACTTTTGTAGAAGGCCTGATAAATTTTTATTTGTTAGCTAATTTATTACAACAGCTTAAGAGTATTGATAACAATTGTGCCCAGCCCTACCATGATTAGTGAAATTTTGCTGTTTGAGGTGAAATCTTTTGGGACCATGATTTTTCTTGTTGAACTTTGTTTTCAGGTTTTTTGTGTCCTTTCACCACTTCAAGAAAAATGCCCCTAGCTCAATAGGAGTGAGATCTGTGATCTAAGGCCAAGGGATATCTGTCCCTGGGGAAAAGGTTAGGAGGGTAACCTTGAGAAGGCTAAGGTAGACCCCTCTTGATTCAGTTTCCCATACAAGAATTCTCTCCACCTGGCTAATTCTGAGCCTCACTATGGTGTCCTGTCATATACTTGGCTGCTTATACTGTTCTTGCCTGCAATTAAATGAAACTAAATATGTTTTTATCCCATCATATATATTGAGTCGTTCTGTGTCTTCAGGCTCTGGCCTGAAAGACCAGCATTGATGCTGCTACAGTGATTCCAATATGCTTCTTCCCCTCGCAGCAAATCTCTATAACCAGGGCAAGATAATCTGTATTTTCTTCCTTTTATCTCATAGATCTTGCTGTTGCAATACCTTAGCACCTTCTACTATTTTTAATCTGAAATTACAGTCATTTCCTTACTCTAAGCAACTACAAAGATGAATATTTGGCCTGGTCATAAACCTATTTAGGCTTACATATGCATGCACAAGATATGCTACTTGCAATATCTCAAAATCATACAGGAGGAATTAAGCAATGATGCAAAAGCATATGGAACCAAAATATATATCTATTCATTAAATCAGGCAAAATCAGAAGCATTTTGTGCGTAGAACATGTCCCAAGTGCAGACATGTTTTACTGTAAGACAACTCTTTGATATACACTGATCTTTGTATACAATTTTAAATTAATCACTTCTTACTGTGTGTGTCTTTTGTTGAGTAAAATTAGCAACTTTTGAGTAACTTCATTTGAGTAATAGAGGTCATCTACTTATGTTTTTAGGTAAGGATTAGATCCTTATCAGTCTCTACTTCTCCTAAGGGGAGAATTGAAATTAAATTGGAAGTAATTGAATTGCAATTAATTGAATTCTAAAAGGTAAAAATTTGGAGTTTTAAAAAAGTATGAAGTAAAAAATTGAATAAAAATGTTGAGAAAGCAACAAGATTAGATGATCATATGTGCAATTTTGAAGGTTTGAAGAGTCCTGCCTTCTATGGTATTTTAAAATATTTAGCTTTTGATTTCTTAGTGTTTTAATTTCTTAAATATATCAATGTAACAAATTGCTAACTTCCATTACAGGGAGTTACGTAATAGTGGAATCAATGCCAGTTTAGACAAGCACTCTTAGCCTTAGCTTGTATGTCTACTTTGGTAAATATTAAATCTGTAACAAAGAAGAATCATTTTCAAGTCAGATCCTCATAAATATTTTTAAAGATTCTTTCTTTAGCTTATTATTGGAAGGGTTTATTTCAAGCACAGTCTTTAGAAAAAGATACAAACAGCAAGGGGTATTTAAGAATTGAAATTCTCATTGGGAGAAGGGGTATTCAAAATGCATGCCATCTTGGGGTGGGGGGAGGGGCAAGATGGGGAGAAAATTTGGAACTCAAAATCTTGTGGAAGTGAACATTGAAAACTAAAAACTAATTAATTAATAAATTAAAAAAAAAATCTTCCCTAGACTTCTCCTCCATTCACCCCAAACTACTTGGCCATTCCTAGATCTTTACCACAGTCTTTCTGTATAAAGATCCATCATGTCTCCATTATGGGGCTCAGATTCAATCTTGCCTGCTTGTCAATACAAGTGTCACAAATGTCACACAGATGCCTTAGGAATCCGGCCAATATGGTGGATCTTTAATAAACCACGTCCTTGGCTAAAAAAACAAAAAAGAGTTGAAATTCTCTGAAGTTTAAGTGAATTATCGGTTCCTAATTGAATATTCTTCTCATAGCTATATTGTTTATAAGATCAGAACCACAAGGTTTCAGCTTGTTTTCACCACATGAATTAATTATTAGAGAAGTGGAATTTAAGAAGCTATACTAAAGTGTATTGAGATGTTTTATAAAAGACTGTAGCAAGAACTTCTAGGAATACACAAGTGATATGGAATCAGATAAACAACTCTACCGAAGAGAAACCCCTTCAGAGATGCCCTGAGAAAAAGATTTATTCCAGAATGCCCAAGATAAGATGCCACCAGAGAATAGACAACCATGTGGGACATCTGGGATCCAAGTTGAAATGTGCTGATAAAATGGACATTGGGAATGGGTTACTGGGATACTAGGAGATCTGATGTTAGTTCATTTTTGTATTACTTCTGCTTTTGCTTCAACATACCTATGTTTGCTGAGTTTTTTTAGTTGCCTTGAGACAAATTAATCTCTTCTCTGAATTCAGTCCATGGTTTTAGATATTCTTACAATGGTTTATGTTATGATTAATCAGCCTTGTTATTCTTTTTCAACTTTGCATTAGTTACTGTGTTAAAGTCTGCTTTGAACTTCTCCTGGAGAAATTTGTGTTACTGTACCCTACTGTTAATAATGATTATGTCAAAGATCTTATAGGATTAGCTATAGATAGATGATCTATTTTATTTGTGTGTGTATGTGTGTGTGTGTGCGTGCACAAGCTCATAATTGAAGGGAGGAACTGAGAAGACTGATTCTGTATCATTTTCTTATTGATCCTATTTACAAGTAATTGATTTTTTCCTGTAACTGCTTTTGCCCTATAATTGCTTAAGTTATGACTCTTTGATTCTGAACTTAATTCAGAGATTTGGCTGGCCTGTGATAGATTACATTTAAAAATCCAACTCTCCTTCTAATTATTGATCTAGTCTTGCTTCAAGGAATTTAACTGACCTTGGAGGATGTGTGTGAACACAAGGGAGTCAGGTCTAGTATCTTTACACCACCAAGATATCCTTCAAGGAAGTCTGCTGTGTTGTCCAAAAGGGTCTGGTTCAGTGGTGGGGAACCCATGGCCTCGAGGCCACATGAATCCAATCTGGATTCAGTCAAAGGGCCACACTTGAGTACCTACAGGGCCACATGTGGCGTCAAGGCTGCAGGTTCCCACCCTTGGTCCATTATCTCTAAACCTTGCAGCTGTACTCAAACAATGGGCACTTCTTAGTCTCATGAGAGAAGAACCGGGGTCATTGCTAGCCCCCAATGTTAAACTTTCAACCAATCATCTTGTTCTCTGTGCCCCAGCTTTGTAACTCATCATGTTGTTCCCAGTTTCATGATGTCACCTACCCTGTTCTGTACTCCCAAAAACCTATTAAAGGAGAACTGTCCTTTGGCTCAGGGTCTTTGGCATAAATGGAGGTAACCCCTCATTGACAGGCAGCATGCCCCTGTTAATAAATGTTATCTTGCGTAAAGAATTACCTCAGTTTGCCCTTTTGTAAAATTTCGCTCACGACAGCATTGTATAAATGTTGCTATTGTTATATTGTGATAATAGGGAAACAGAGAGGAGATTCTTACACCATATGCTTTATTGGTTAAAAAAAAAAAAAGGGTGGAATCAGGTGCTTCATGTCTCTGCTCTAACAAGGGACACTTGTCAAACACATGCAGCTCCAGTCAGGCCCAGGGTCTTTCTTTATCTTTCCAGGTACCAAGGCTTCCTCTTCTTCATTTATAGAGAAGTATTCTGATTTGTAGTTTAGGGTAATGGTGTGAAGGTGGAAAAATTGTTAGAAGGGATAGTAGATCCAACAGGGGAACTACCCTCATTGACAAGGAGAGTGGAGGGGGTATCAGGAGCCTGGGTAGTTGCTTCCAAGGTGGGAAAATTGTTAGAAGGGACAGTGGAGCTGATAAAGGAACTACCTTCAAGGACAGGGACAGTGGTGGGGTTATCAGGAGCCTGGGTAGTTGCTTCCAAGATGGGGGTGGTCTGGGGAGGGCTGCTACCAACAGGTGGAATGGCAGGATTTCTAGGAGCTGAGGAAGTCTTCTTCAGCAACTGGGATATAAAGAAGTTCACCCTGAATGCATTCTGACTGTTGGAACCAGAAGTAGGATTTGGGTGTTCCTCCAAAGTGTAGGAAGTGATAGTAAGAGGGGCTCGAATATTTTGCTGAGAAGTGTTCCCTCCAGGAGTGGAAACATCAGGAGAAGTCTGGAAGCTTGTTGGAGATGGAAGAGTTAAGGTGAGTGCTAGAATAAGAGCATAAAGAGTTGGTTGGAATCCCATTTCTGACTGTCCCCCTTCCCAAAGCTCTCACCAAGCCTACTTAGGATTATACTTCTTAGCCTTTAAGGACTCGGGGCGTTCCCATTCCCAGTTCTTATCCTCCTGCCCCAAAGGCATTTAAAAACAGCTCTAACTGAGCTATGAATAACTCAGAAGGCATCACCCCACTTTTTAAGGCTCCCAACTGTCCAGCTGAACTTCTATCCTTTATGCTTAACCCATAGCTATGGGCATTCTGACCATACCCTCGGCAAGGTCTTTTTGTGCTCATGAGTAAATTGGGCCCTTACTCAAAGCATTCTGAAGGAGAAGCCACTGAGCCCAGAACAGACACCTCCTGAGTACTCATGCTGGGCAGTGTCCTAGACAAACAAGGCCTCAAGACAGAGTGGAAAACACTCTGAGGTCCAAAAGGCCTAGATTCTAGGCCCAGCCCTCCCACTGAGTGTACGAACTTAGGGAAGCGCTTGACCCCTCTGGGCCTCATCTACAAAATGAGGTGATTGAACTAGGATGACTTCTAAGCTTCTTTCCAGCTTGATCACCATCTCCCAACTCCTAGTTCCTCCTCTCCTCCCTCCCCCAGCCAAAGATATCAGAGCAAAGGCAGGTCCCATTGCATGTCTGCTGCAAGACTCAGGTCAACAGGCCTGGGGTTCCTGAGCCCTAGGGCCTGAACAGGAAGGGCCCACCCTGGCCCAGGTTCCCTTGCTGCTAGAAGACATTTTACTTACTGCTGGAAGTCAGGAGGGCATCCTTTAATGTCTTCACAAGGGGAAAGGGGCCCTGCCCACAAAAGGAGCCCCTGAAGTCATCCAAATCCAAGGACCACACCATGGCTCCCCCATAGTTTTCGTTCTTTATGAACCACGCCTGTGAATGTAAGGGAATGTTAGCCCGCTGACTGTTCTGAGCACCATCCAGTTTTGGTGCTGTGGGAGAGAGAGAGGAAGAAGGGGACAGAGTTTCTGACCTTGGGGAGCCCCCAGGCTGTTTGGGAGATAACCAGCCCGGGAGAGCACTAAGAGAGGGCCCAGTGAACCCACTTCTCCCCTTGCAGCATGGCAGAAGAGTGAATATGACCTGGAAGGCAAGTTCAGTACTGAGGAAAACCTTTCCTCTTCCACACCTTTGGGGCAAGGATGAGTCAAAAGCGTCTTTCCCTGCCTCAGTCTTCGAGGATTACTTTATAAAACATTCTAAACTCACGCACACGCTCATGCAGCTGCCTCTCCTGTGTCCCTCATTGCCTCCATGTATTTTTCTTAAATACTAGAGTGAAAGCCAGCACAGCATAAAAGATAGAGAGCTGGCCTCTAAGTCAGGAAGACCCAGGCTCAAGTTCTGCCTATGCCCCACATATTGGTTATGTGGCCCTGAATAAATCACATCACTCTTTAAGATGCAAGGGTACCTCTATTTTGGTAGAAGGGGTTCCTCAGAGAAAACTTCTTACAGCCATGTAATCAAGGGGACAAAATAAAATACTAGAGTCAGAAAAACTGCCCCAAGTTCTATTCCTGATCCTAGGATTAATTAACTATAGGATTTGAACAAATTAACCTCTCTGGGCTTCACTTCCTGGTTGGTAAGTTATTTTGGTACAGGATGACATAGTGGGGGGGAAAAACACATTGAATTTGGAGTCAAACTAGGTTTGAATGCCAGTTCTACCCACCTCTATTTGTGTTCTCTTGTGTAAATCACTTAACCTTTATAGGCATCGATTTCCTGCTCTGTACAAAGAGAGGGCTGAACTAGATGTCCTGTGAGGTTTGGTCCAACTCTCCATCTCTGATTCTGTGATTCTGTGATCACCAAGGTCCCTTCTAACACTTGAAAACTTTTGTCTCTGAAAAACAGACACACTGCAAAACCCTTTGCTCTTCTCATTCTACATTTTCTCCCTCTCTTCATAGCTTCAGCTATGACCTCCATGAGGATGACTCCCAAATTGTTCTCTGTCCTCAACTCTCTTCTGGGTTTCAGTCCTCTACCTCCAACTGCCTCCTAGACATCTCCACCTGAATGCCCCACCTAAAACTCAATATATCTGAAACCAAGCTTCAGATTTCTACCTCCCTCCTTTTAATAGTAACCTCATTCTTCTTGTCAAGCAGCTTGTAAATCCTTCTCTACTCCCTCAAAACAGGTGGGCCTTTGCAACAGGGAGAAGCTGGTTGTTACTAAATTGCACTGTGCCAATCTCCAAATTCATCTCAGCCTATTCGCTTCTTCCTAGTTCATTCCTGACCCAGGTTACTATCCACCTGTACAGCCCATCCCAGAGACAAGTACTGATGGATCAACTGATAGAAAGGCCAGCCAACTATATGTCATAGGGGCAGCAAGGTGGCACAGTGGATAGAGTACTGGCCTGGAATCAGGACCCGAGTTCAAATCCAACCTCAGACACATAACACTTACTAGCTGTGTGACACTGGGCAAGTCACTTAACCCCACTTGCCTCACAAAAAAAAAAAACAAAACAAAAAAAAAAAAAAAACCCACAACAATTACATGCCATAGTCCAAATAAAGGGCAGTTTTCTCTAGTTTATCCTGAATGAATAACTAGGCTGATTTTACTGGAGCATTCGTGAATCTTGCTGAAGACACTCTAATTTCCTGGGGCTTGATGAAATCAAAACAATATTATCCACATATGGGAACATCTGGAGAACATCATATATCACCATCTAGAGAAAAGTCCTGTTCCATTTGGACCTTGTGTAAAACATCTTCCACGGGAATTACTTCATTCTTTGTATTTGTATGCCTAGAACTCAGCACAGTGCTTGGCACAAAATAGGCACTTAATAAATTCTTGTTGATTAATTGGTTGATGATAGTGGTAAACACTTTTGGCAGACTTACATCATCTCAATTTATGCATCACTTGGCATTAATAATAAGAGGATCATTGAATTGAATTCTAGCTCTGTGGCTCCATTAATTAAGTACTCTTTTGATCTTACCATAGGCATAAGGGACTTCTTGTTGAATGAAAGCCTGTACAGCTATGTATTGCTATACTAAATCAGATATTTTTTGTAAAAAATAATATTAATGAACAGTACAGGGAAGTGGGAGCTTGTCATTAGTTAAAGGTCTCATATGTGTAGTACCTAAAGATAAAGAAGAGGAGGAGGAGGAAGGAGGAGGAGATGAAGAATCAGAAGGAGGAGAAGGAGAAGTAAAAGGAGAAGAAGGAAGAGGAGGAGGAGGAGATGAAGAATCAGAAGGAGGAGAAGGAGAAGTAAAAGGAGAAGAAGGAAGAGGAGGAGGAGGAGATTCATGGAATGAGGGCCAGCTTGTATTTTTCTTGATTTCATGAATAACCATGAAATACACGTCATCGAGGGTCTAACCTGCCAGGGAAAAGCCTCTGTATTTCAGTTGGTCCTCAGACAACAGACTCAACAACAGTCTGTTGCCAGTATTATATTTTAAGCCTTTCCAGTTTCATAGAAATGACCAAAGCTTAAGAGTTTAGACTTGATCCTAAAGACAGTCAGGAATGAGCTGGGTGGCACAGGGGATAGAATATTGGACCTAGAGTAAGGAAGATCTGAGTTCAAATCTTGATTCAGATACATCCTAGCTGTGAGACCCTGGACAAATCACTTAACATCTTTTCACCTCAATTTTCTCATCTATAAAATGGGAATAATAACAGCATAGGGTGGTTGTGAGGACTAAATGAGATAAGATGTGTAAAGTACTTTACAAACCTTAAAGTTCTATCGAAATACTAGCTATAATTAATTGTTAGCAGCAAGGGGAAAATGTGTGCAAAAAGATGTTTTAAGAAGGTTAATCTAGCAGTCCTTTACAATATCCTTTGCAATGCCTCATTGGGCATGCAGCTGACCTGGGGCGTACGTGTCCTTAGGTTCTCAGCTTCAAACTCGGCTGGCACAGCTTTTGATAATTCAGGATCTAATACAACACGATGAGGGACAGGCATTTAAGGGGGACTGCCAGATTTGGGTTAAGTACAGGTTTTAATCATTAGTATCCAGATACTAGCATGAATCAGCAGATCTGATCCTCTGCCAGGGTTAGATAGTTAGGAGAGCAGGTGCTCAAAAACCTTACATGACTTCCCCAGTGCTTAGAGGATAAAGCTGAAGTGCCCTCCATAACATAGCCTCAACCTTCATTTCAAATCTTACTCCCCTGCACCAGCCTTCTGCTCCAGACATACTGGTGTACTCATGGAACATGCCACTTGCATGCCTCCCTCTTTGACTTTGCTCCTGGCCCTCTGCCTGCTTAGCTACAGGCACACATTTCCCTTTATTACAGAGAAAGACATGGATGTATTTGGGCTGAGATGGAAGACAGAAGAAGAGACTGGAGGAAGACAAGCGGCGATCCACAGAGAGGGTCAGAGGCTGAGTCGCCGCATTTAGAGCTAGCCAGCCTACGGCACGAACGCCCTCAGTGCGTCACTGAACAAAGCCTCTTCCACTGTTCCAAAGAGCACTACGTTCGTCATGCGGGCAGCTCATCGCTCATCCAGTGTTCAGAGAGCACCGGATAGATGGCCACAGTGCAAAAATGTTCCTTGAAGCTGCAGGAAGGAGACGATCTTTTTTCTTAGAACATTCTTAGCCTAAAGCCAAGCTTGTGAGAAAGCATGAAGTCTGAAAAGTCTATCTTTCATGCCCTCCCCACTTCAAACATTAGGTACTGTCCTTCTTACTTCCCATCAGGTAGCCTCCTAGCTACCAGGGCTCCACAGTCGGTTGGTGCCCTACGTTCTGACCTCTTTCTCTATTCCCTCACTGCTGTCAAACCTGCTCTCCCACCTATCTGACTTTGGGAAAGGATGAGATCCACCAATTCATGCTAAGGCGCACATGACTAATAATGGCTTTATGTGCTATGCCATGGGTATTTACAGTGCCTTTTTGCCCAGGAGCAACACTTTAACCCAAAGGAATGAAACTTGAATTGACTGAAGGGGAGAAAGCTAGACAGCAGAATTATGTCAAAAGTTGAGAGCAGGGGCTTTCCTGGTACACCCACACCAAATCCCATGACAAAAACAGCTGCCTACTTCCCAAAACACTGTTAACACTCCAGCTCTCTCTCTCGCTCTCTCTCTCTCTCTCTCTCTCTCACACACACACTCACACACACACACACACACACACACACACACACACACAAACTACTTATAGAATTGAATTTTAAGTGGAAGTAGGAATATGGAACACATTGGGCCCAGTTATATGTCACCAAGAATTGGAGCCCCATGAAAACTTGAGATGAAGGAAGAATCAGGTCCTTACTTTGTGAAGAAAGCTGTAGACATCATCATAGCCAACCCAATCATTCCTCTTGTAGGCATAGAAGACTTTTTGCTCCTTAATCCATTTTATCGTGGCTTCCTTGAGGAAGGTACAGATCTGTCAGCAGAGCACAGATAAGAGAAGGGTGTGTGAATGAAAGATACGGGCAGAGATGATGGGTACAGACAGACCGAAGACCTGTGCAGCCATCTACCCTTCCCAAGAGGTAAAGGCTAACTGGGTAAACACGGCATGACTATGGTGGAAGGAAGAAAACTCACCAAGGGGTGAGTAAGGACCTGTGTTTTGGGATGGAGGGGAGGAAGAAGAGGGAAGGACTTTTGGACTATTCCATTCTCCCCAGGAAGCAGAGATTAACCACGTAGTTGGCCAATAGTGATAACCATAGCTCCCATTTATATGGTTTTCAAAGCCTTTCTTTTCTGATCATCTCTACACTCTGTGAGATAAGAAAGGATAGATTTGGAAGCACCTATTTCTATTTCCTCCCCTCATCCCCCGATCACAGGGCAGAATACATCATCCCCTTTCCTACCACCAACACATACATGTTGGAATTATCCCCAGCATTCCCAAGGTCTCAGACCTCCATCACCTTGATTGTTTTCCCCAGGCACACCCCACCCCCAACTAAATAGAAATGCCCAGAATGTAGCACTCTCCCAAAGGTATCCCTTGCCCTCTACAGAAGGTCTACCCCAATCACCTCATAGTAAGCCAAAAACCCAGATTCCTGAGTATAATTCCCAGGAGATGATGGCCCAAAAGCAGGAGCCCCTATCCCATGGCTGGAGCTCAGGATGTGAAAGGTACGCCCATAGGCAGGAAACCCCATGACGAGCTTCTCCGGGGGAGCTCCCTTCTTTTTCCATATCTTCATGGCAATTTCCTGCAGAGGTGAGAATAGATTCTCACCCACTCTTTGTTAGTGGGGGCCCCACCAATTCCCCTCAACACAGAAGTGGGAACCAGCCCAGGTCCACCTTCTTACACAATTCAAGTAGTCTACTTTATTATTCTCCCAATTCCTTCCATACAGGGGGCTGTTGTGCCCAGTGACCACTTCCCAACTTCCATGGAAATCATAAGTCAAGACACTGACATAGTCCAAAAGCCTGGAAAGGAAAGTTATATAAGAACATGAAGATTTAGACAGGCAGCTCCCATTCTAAAAAAGGCAGAATTTTCTATCCCAAAGTTGTTCCATTGCTTTCTGACTTTGTTGCTTTCTCCTAATCCATGCTGCGGGCCTGAGATATCTGTCATATTTTTCCTCCCCATCATTCCAGAAGCCTTAAAATTTTGCCTCCTTTATGAAGTCCTCTGGGGCTTTTATAGGCTTCCTGCCTATAGAGCTCCCATATCTCTCCCATTACTCTCCACCTTGAAACACATTCCTCTTACTGGGTAACCAGTATTAACACCCAATGCTTTCTTTAAAAAATTTTACATTTTTGGTCCATCATCCATCTGTGCCAGAGACTACATCTTGGATTGTGTGCAGTCAGAAGGCAGCAACCAAGTCTATCTGATGCTTTTTGTGTAAGGTCCGGTCCAACATTTGAATTGTGGTGGTGATTAAGGTGAATGTCAAGATGAACTCCACGTCTTCTCACTGGGAAAGCCTTGGCTATGTAGATGACAAATCTCCCTTCCTCCTCAACTCTACACACACTCATGTTAGGGCAAGCTAGAAGTTCTTCTGCCTGCCTGGGTTCAGGTAACAACCCTCCCCTGCCACTCAGGTACCTTGACTCCAGCCAGGGTCACTGTTTCCTCACCTTGCAATAGTTGACACATCATAGGCATGGCTGATGATTTTGTAGTCACCAGACACAGCTGCAGTGAGCAGCAGCCTGCTTTGCTCAGTGTCCTGGGCCTCATTATGGAAGGCAACCAGAAGTTCCTAGAGAGAGGTGATAGAGGGGGAGGAAGGCAGAGGGAGGAAGGTAAAGAGAGGTGAGGCAAGGGAGGCAGGTTGAGAGAAGGGGGCAGATGTGAGAAGCAAGGCAGGGGAGATAGACAATGAAGAGGAGGCAACGCAGAAGAAAAGAGACGAGGAAAGGGAGGAGGGAGAAGAGAAAGCAAGAGAGAGAGAAAGAGAGAGAGAGAGAGAGGAGAATGTAAGAGAGAAAGGAGAGTGGATGTGGCGGGGGGCAAATAGAGAAGTAGAAAAGGAGACCGAGGCAATAGTTAGGGAGACAGTATCAGAGAGAAAGGCAAATGGAGGCAGACAGGGAGAGAGAGAGAAAGTAGCAGTAAAAAGCCAGAGGGAAAACAAAAAGGACTTCTATAGAGACCCCTGCCCAGCAGCACCCCCCCTTCTCTCAAGCATCTTAAGTGTTTGTAGTATTTTATTTGTTGCCAGAAAACCCACCATTCCCATCTCCCTTACTAGGGGAAAGATGGCACTGGCTCAGGAGTCTCCCCTCAGGGAACCTTCACTCCTGTCCCAGAGTCTCCCTCTCCCTTCTGGCCCCCAGAGAGTGACTTTACTTGAATCAAGGAGGTGAATCGGCCACGATCCTCTTTGGGACTGCCCCTAAATGTGGGGTACTGGAAGAAAAGGTCAAGGCCGTCAAAGCCGTGCTTCCGCAAGAAGACTATGACCGAGAAAATGAAAGTTTGTCGGTTCTCGAATGTGGAGAGCATCTTGGTGAATCTGTGGGGAAGACCTAGGAATCAGGAAGGTGCCATCCCTATAGGATCGCTGGGTCCCACAGGGTCTCCTGGGCAGAACTCCAGAGAAAAACCAAGCTGTGTGCCAACTGAAATGGGCAAGGGCTCAAGGGGAAGGGCAGGCTAGAAACTTAGAAAACAAGCAGTGGTTTTGTCTTTATTTTGTTTTCTGAGTGTTTGGGGCCAGCCTGAGCCCCAGCCCCCCTGCTGAGTGGGAAGATATTTTTAAAGTCCTGTGTTCCAGCCCCTATAGGTTAAAAAATAAACAAATAAATCAAAGATCTAGAGCAAGTCTTAGAGGATATCTGGTCCAACCCCCTCTTTTTACAGATGAGGAAACTGAGACCCAAGAAAGTAAAATAACTTGTCCAAAGTCACGCAGATAGTAAGCATCAGAGAGAGCATTTGAACTCAGTCCTCTGGATCCAGAGCCAGGACTCTCCACTATGCCAGATTGCCTCCCAACCAGAAAACAATAAAAATTTATATTCACATGGCCCTCTGAGGTTTATAGAGCACTTTTCTCATGATAGTAGGGAATACATATATTATGATCTCCATTTTACAGATAGAGAAACTGAGATTCAAAGATGAACTGCCCAAGGTTACACAGTTCAGAGCTCAGACTCAAAGCTAAATCTCCTGACTCCAAATCCAGGGCTCTTTCCACTACACTAGTCAAGTCAATAAGCATTTATTCAGCACCTACTACATGCCAGGCACTGTACTGAGCATACAAAGAAAAGCAAAAAACAGTTCCTGATCCCAAAAAACCATACAAACAACTGTATACAAATGAGATATATAGATACAGATTATACACACACATATATATATATATATATATACATATATGATAAATTGGAGATAATCAACAGAGGGAGGGCACTAGCATTAAGGGGACTGGGTACAGATAGTGGGATTTTAGCTGGGACTTGAAGGAAGCCAGAGAAGTCAGGTGGCAGAGATGGGGGAGAGAATTCCAAGTATGGGGGACAACCAGTGAAAATGCTCAGAGTCTGGAGATGGAGCATCTTGTGCAAGAAGCAGCCAGGAGGCCGGTATCACTGGACCAGAGAGTACATGGTGCAAAGGGGGCAAAAGACTTGAAAGGTGTTAGGGAATCCGGTTATGAAGGGCTTTGAAAGCCAAAGATTTTATTTTTGACCCTACAGGTAATAGGGAGCCAGTGAAGTGTACTGAATAAGAGGGGTGACATGGTCAGAACCTTCACTTTGGAAAAATCCATCTTGAAAGCCAAGCAAAGGATGGATTGGAGATACCTGAGGCAGGGAGACTGACCAGCAGGCTACTGCAAAAATCCAGGTGTGAAGTGATAAGAGCTTGTACTGGGGGGGTGGCAGTATCTATTAACTCTCTTAGGGGATATGGAATGGACTTGCGATTTCACAGGGAACTCCCAAAAGACGGAAATGGTCAACATGTTCTCTGTAACTTATGAGTCTTAGAGAATTGCCTGGGGAACTAAGAGGTTAAGTGTCTTGCTCAGGGTCACACAGCTGTTATGTACATGTCAGAGAAAGGATTGGAATCTGTGTCTTTTGGCTCCAAGAGTGGCTCTCCATCCACCAACTCCACTTCTTCACTACTACTACTACTACTACTACTACTACTACTACTACTACTACTGCTGCTGCTGCTGCTACTACTACTACTACTATCACTAATAATAATAATAACAATAATAGGAATTTCTATCTGTCAAGGGGAACTGCAGAAAGCCTGTGTGGAGAGACCTCTTGGGATAAATAAGGGCACAGAGGGCCCTAATTTTCCTAGTTGCAGAGCCAGCCTGAGACCCAGCCCCAGCCTCAGTGGACCTAGATTATAGCAAGTCCTCACTGGCCATAGCTTCCACACATTCATAGCACCTGTTCCACCAGCTCTCAGGTTCTAGTCTCATTCCAGCCACCCCGTTCACCAATCTCAATCCTTTCTCAACCCAAAGAGGTGATGACTTAACGTTCCCACCTGTTTGTGCCAAAGTACCAGCCTCCAATGGACAGCAGTATACGAAGATCCTTGTTTCTGTTATGCGGAGGAAGGAGATAGAGGAAATTACAACCAGCTCTCAGTTATCTGCCCTCACAGGGCTCAGAGAAGTATAGCCAATAAGTAGCCAAACTAAGACTTGAACCCAGTTCTCCTGACTCCAAATCATTTTTATTCACCTCTGGATAGACCCAGAAAACAAGCAAATTCCAAGACAGCTGCTTCCCTTTAATTGGCTTTTCCTTGAATTGGCTTTTACTCTCTTTCCACCTGTATTTATAAATGGGAAACCTCCCTCTTCCACAGAAAGGGCAGAATAGAGGGTCAGGCTCAAGGGAAGTGCCAGGCAGAACAGGAAGTTAGACATGAAGAACACCTCTAATCTTTAAACACAGCCTCTGTTCTGGTCTTTGCATTAGCCAGGCACCCAGCTTCCCCAACATCTCTCAGGGCAGCTGTGGAAACACAGAAGGGTAGGGCCACAGCATGCTAGACCCAAAGGGGGCCTGAGATGCTTGTTTTATTTCGTAAGTTCAGAATAAAATGTTAAAAATAAAAATAGATAAAATGGGAGCCTGAGAGATAACCGAGACTGAGCCTCTCATTTTACAGATGAGGAAACCAAAGCCTATAGAAAAGTGACTTGGCCTGTTAGTAACAGGGCCAGGATTAGAACCCCAATCTCCTTACTAACAGTCTGGTCCTCTCCCCACTACTCCGCTGCTACCTCACACAGAAGGATGGCTGACCTTTCCTTGAGACTCTTAAGCTGCGGGTACATTTTCTCCTCATCATTCCTCTCTGTGGGGGTAATTCTGTTGTTCTGCATCGATGCAAAGGCATACACCAGGTGGGTGCAGAGATAGGGGTCCAGGTCCTCCGGGAAGAGGAAGGCAGGGCTTGGGCGATACTGGGCCCAGCTAGTGAGGTAACAGACCAGTTTGAAGGCTGTACCTGGCATGGGAAAGCAGCCATTACTGGGGGAAGAATTAAGGAGTGGCCTCCCCAGGGTGGGCCAGACACATCCTCAGGGAGCCAAGCCACCAGGCTGACTCACACCCTCTTAGAAATGGAAGAGATTGGAGAGGCCAACTAGCCTGAAATCTCATTTTACAGCTGAGGAAATTAAGTTTAAGAGAGGTGAAAGGGCTCAGTCCACACAGCCAGGACGTGAGTAACAAAACCAGGATGTGAATCCAGGTGCTCTGACTCCAACTCCTTTGTATTTTCCACTGAGCCCTCTGCCTTCTGAGAAGAGCTGGGTCATCACCATGGATTCTCCAGGATTCCTTGCATATAGTTAGATGTGGCCAGAATGAGCTGCTGGAGTGGGGATGATGTTCCGTGCTTTCTCATCCCCCAAGACCCCTAAGCCAGGATGCCCTCTCCATTAAAATGAGAGGAAGCATGTCTCCCCTCCCCAAGAAAGACATTAGAAGTTTAGAGAGCTTGACAGTAGGTGAAACTCAGCCCTAGGGGGAATTGAGGGAGTGTGTGAAGGGGAGAGGTTGTGCTGTATCCTTACCCAGCTGGAGCTGGAGCAGGAGGGCCAAACCTGCAGGAGAAATAGGAAAATATTACACACACACACACACACACACACACACTCACACACTCACACGCCCCATTGCTAGCTAGGGAGGCAAATGACCTGGTTATAAATTCCAGCTTTGTTACTTCCCACATGCATGACCCTCACCTTTCTGGACGTAGCTGCCTCATTTGCACTAGATAACAATCGTCATCATTATCGTAATAGCTAACATATCCATTGTTGTTGTTCAGTCATTTCAGTCATATCTGACTCTTTGTGAACCCATTTGGGGTTTTCTTGGCAAAGATGCTACAGTAGTTTGCCATTTCCTTCTCCAGCTCATTTTACAGGTGAGGAAACTGAGGCAAACGGAGTTGAATGCCTTGTCCAGGGTCACACAACTAGTAAGTGTCTGAGGACAGATTTGAACTCATGTCTTCCTAACTCCAGGCCCAGTGCTCTGGGCCACCTACTTGCCCCCCTAACATATCCATAGTACTTTCAAAGATACACACACATATCCATACATACATATATACATTATATATATATATAATTTGAGGCCCCTTAAAGCTCTAAAACTGTGAACCTAAGGTATTATATCCAAACACATACCTATGTGCAAACAGAAATGCAGATAAGAGCATATATACTTACATGAATACATATGCCCACATGGCATATAAACAGGCCTGCATATGCCCACATTCAAAATACAAAGAAATGTACATATAACAGGAATAATCAGAGGAGCCTCTTAATCTTCTGGGACTATGTGGACAAAATAACAAAAATAGCCGGTGCTTGTGTAGCATTTTAAGATTTGCAAAGAATGCCAATTAAATCCTGCACCTTATCCCATTTAGGCCTCCCAACAAACACTTAGGTTGAGTATAATGCTGTTTTTCTCCCTTTGTAGATGAAGAAACCAAGTCCAGAAGAGATGATGGGATTTGCCGAGAGTCTCACAAGCAGGAACCTTCTACTCAAACACGAATGCAACTCCCCTTTTCCCCAATATACACAAACACCAAAGCACACAGCCTCGCACAGATACAGGGATACTTCTCAGAATACCCAGTAGCAATTCCATAGTCCAGACTAAGATGGTCTGTCCGTTGTCCCCAAGGTGTAGATCCTTTGGCAGGGCAGACCAAGCAGTGGGTGAGACTGACAGCTTCTCTGTGAGAAAATGGGCTTGGGGGATGCCAAGTGGGATCTAGACACACTTACCAGCCCAGAGCAGCAGTCTTGCCATGTTGTGAGCCCTCAAGCTGTGAAGCCAAAGTGTGGCGTTGATTTTTATGAGCCACTGGGTGCGCACCTTCAAAGGACAGTCCAGCCCCAAGCCCAAAAGAGTCCTGTTCCAATCGCTGGTGATTCATGGACCCCTGTCACCTGTTGCAGGAACAGGTTGCCCCAGAGTCACAGTGTCCCCAGGGCCTCCTGGCAGCCCTGCAAAGCCCACCTGCAGGTTCTAAAGCAATTGTCCTGTCAACATAGGACTGAGACTCCCAGCATTTTGAGATCCTGCCAAGGTCTCTAAACTGCCCCCTCCTTGGTACTGAGCCCTTCCCCCACTTCTACCACCAATATGTCAAAGATTTTAGAGCTAGAAGGGACCTCAGTGTGATCTAGTACAACCCTTCATTTTACAGAGAAGGACATCAAAGCCTAGGGAAACTAAGAGACATGCCCAAGGTCACATCAACCCTTATCTTTGGTCCTCATCCTCACTTCCCTATCACTCTTTTCATACTCCAGCTTTCTCTCCTTGATAGAATGTGAACTCTTTGAGAATAGAGACCATGTTTTTGTCTTTCTTTGTATCTTCAGGGTAGCCACTAAAGCAGAGAAGTGGGTGGTACAATGCATAGAGTAGTGGGACTGGAATCAGGAAGACCAGAGTTCAAATCCAGACACTTACTAGCTGTGTGACCCAAGTAAATTACTTATTAACCTCTATTTCCCTATCTGTAAAATGTGGATAATAAGACAGCCGAATTTTCACAGGGTTGTTATAAGGATAACACTAACATTTGTAGAGTGCTTTGCCAACCTTAAAGTGCTATATAAATGCTAACCATTATTATTATTAGCACAGTGCCTGGAACATAGTAAACCTTTAATAAATTGTTTATTCATTAACTGGGAGTCAGTTCCAATATCTGGCACTCAGATCTCTTACCTTCCTGGCAAATATATAACTTAAAAGCAAGGCACTGAAGATGTCTGGACAGACTTGCTCAGTCCAATTCAGTTCTCCTCACTGGTACTTGGGACCCTTTTTTGATACTCGCCCACCTTCCTGGTCCTTAGTTTCTTCTTTCCCTCCTTCTTTCCTGCTGGCCCCCCCCCCCCCCCCACTCCAACCACAGCCATTCCTCATGCTTTGACTATACACAAAGGCTGGGAAATTTGAAAACCTCAATGTGAAGCTCTGAAGAAATCTCTACATGTTTTAAAACACTTTAGCATCACACCTCTAGCACTTTCTATTACATTTTGATTTCCCTTATTCATGAAACATCTTTAAAATTTTTATTTCAATTAATAAACATTTCTTTTCTTCTTCCTACTCCCTTACTACCGCCCTTCTCCCCTGGGTGGGGAAAGGGGAGACCCTTGTAACAAATATAGTCAAACAGAACAAATTCCCCCATTGGCTATGTCCAAAAATGTGTTTTTCTGCTTCATGAGTCCATCACCTCTGTGTTAGGAGGTGGGTTGCATTCTTCATCATTGATCCTCTGGAATTGTGATTGATCATTGCATCAGAGTTCCTAAGTCTTTCAAAATTGTTCGTTTTCCTAGGTACACTGTCTTCACTCTGTATCAGTTCATACAAGTCTTTCCAGATTTCTCTGAAACCATCTTTCTCCATTCTTTATAATGCCATAGTATTCCATTACATTCATATACCATAATTTGTTCAGTCCATTCCCCAATTGAAAGGTCCTTAGTTTCTAGGGTTGGGTTTTTTGTTTTGTTTTGGGTTTCTGCCACTACAAAAGAGCTGTTACAAATTTTTATGTATAAGACTTTTTCTTCTTTCATTGATCTTTTTTGGGTTATAGGTCTAATAGTATTAATGATGGTTGGATCAAGGAGTATGCACAGTCTAGTTAATTTGGGTATCAAATTGCTTTCCAGAAAGGCTGGATCAATTCACACTTCCACCAACAGTGCCTCAGTATATCTATTTTCCCAAAGCTCCTCCAACATTTATCCTTTTTTCTTTTTTTGGGGGGGGGTTAATTGGCAAATTAAACTTTGCCAACTTGATGGATCTAAGGTGGAACTGCAGAGTTGCTTTAATTTTCATTTCTCTAATAGTGGAGCATTTTTCCACATAGCTATAAACAGGTTAAATTTCTTCCATTGAGAACCACCCTTGACCATCCTTTAGCCATTTACATCACTGCTTGCCTTAACTATTGCAATAACTTTTTTGGCCCCATCTCAGATGGGAGATATTTGCCCATTTCCACCATCATCCACAAGCTGCTAATGATCAATAACATTTTCAAATTCTCTCTCAAAATACTATGTGCTTCCGGGCCTAACAACAAACTCATTGAAGACTTATTTTGCATATCCTTACTCTAGTTCCCATTCTGGGTTCCCCATTTTTGCTTTCTCACTCTGAAGATAATTTTCCTTAGTAGAGGAAATGCCTTCTATCCATCCTATTGCCTTTCCATCCATACTAAGCACTGGTCATAATCCCTGTCTGGATCTTCCACTTGTCCACTTCTTATTGCAGAAGCATTTATCACAAATCTAAGCTCATTCCTGGCTTTATCCTTCCTGATAGTATTTTATAAAATCTTTGCAACTCTTCTTTAAGCAATGGGACCCCCCTAATCTGCCTACAAATGATTTGGTTATGCTTTCACCAAATCAAGGCTAAAAGTCAGGCTACTTAAGTTTTCTTCTCCTCTACCACACTCAAGGAGGAAGTGGTCATTTCTACATCACCCCCTAATTCTATGGGTTCCCATCATTTCCTCCCCATTCATCACTTGGTGAGAGTAAGATCCAGCACAGAATTTCTTGTTAGTTCTTTCACCGTTTGAAGGATGAAATTATCATTATAGTGAGTCAGGAATACATGAGCAACTGTTTTTGGTAGAGAGCTCCAGTTATGCCTAGATAATTGACCTTTGTGCCAAGTATGTGATGTTTCCCAAATTTATCTAGTACTGTCCAGATGATCTGTAACATATTCAGATAACAAAATCACTTCTAAAGATCTTCACTAAATGAACCGAATGCTTTCCCGCTCTGGCTCCTGGATTTCCTTTATCAGTATACCTACTTAATACACAATATTACTTCACCCCACATTTTACCTAAGTGATTTCTTTCCAATAATGTATACCCATAACAGTCGCTAGATGGTGCAGTAGAGCGAGCACTGGACCTGCAGTGAAGACCCGAGCTAAAATTTGGCCTCAGATACTCACGAGCTGTGTGGCACTGGGCAAGTCGACTAGTTTGCCTCAGTTTCCTCAGCTGTAAAATGGGAATCACACTAGCACCTACTTCCCAGGTTGTTGTAAGGACCAGATGAGATATTATTAAGCACTTAGCACAATGCCTGGCACTTAATGGTTTCTTCTCCTTCCTGCTATTCAGAACCACTTTCCAAACATAGGCCTCACTCATCTCAATGATCTAAGGTGAAATTTGCCACTTTGAGCTAGGACTTCATTTATCTTGTTTACACTGTACATTTGTGTATAGATGTTTTCCTGCTGGTTCATTCCTTGGATTTTGTCTCCTTTAAACCTGTGACACTCCTTCCTATACTGAAGCTACTTCCTGCCCCAAGCTTTTCAGTTCAAATTTTTTTCAATTAGATTTCTGAAACACAAGACAAAAGCATTCTTACCAGACTTTATGATGAAAATCAAGGGCCTCTTTGAGACAAAAAAAATGACTCAGGGGCAACATAGATGTGGTTTTTTTTTTTTTTTTTTTTTTGGTTAGGCAAGGGGGTTGAGACTTGCCCAGGGTCACACAGCTGTGTTATGTGTCTGAGGCTGGATTTGAACTCAGGTCCTCCTAAATCCAGGGCTGGTGCTCTATCCACTGCACCACCTAGCTGCCCCACAGATGTGGCTTTTGACAGTGCTGTAGTAGACGGACTCAGAGACTGATGAGACTGGAGTATTTTTTTTAAAGTTGTGGCTGCTGGTGGAGGTACTTCCCACACAGGGTGCTAGGGCACCCCTATACTGGGAGAGGAAGCAGCTCTAGCTATAGCATCAGTGAGGAGACTGCCACAGATTTAGGGTGCTAAGATATTTCACAGACATCCAAAAGAAACTATTTCAGCTTGGCCTGGGGTGGGACCAGGGTCAAGGCCAACTGAGATACAGTCCCAAATGTCACAAACATACAAGGAAGTTAAGGGCTTGGCCCTCCTGTTCATATCCAAGAGCTCATGAAGACCTAGCACAAAAAGAATTAAACCTATTGTTTCCAGACGGTTGAATGTAGGGCTATATATATATATATATATACACATCTATGCAGGGCATTGTTTGGCTTTTCCGGAGTGACTGTGACATGCAGGTGTGTTGGAGATGTGGGGAAGACAGGTAGGGAGAACACCCAGGAAAGCAACTAGTCCTGGCCTCTTGTGTCAAAATGAAGGTACTGCAAGGTCTCAGGCCTCCAGCAGGGTCTCTAGCACCTTCCCCAATTATCTTCTGCTTATCCCATACGTAGCCTGTCCTTCGTACATTATCTGTTGTCTCCTCCATTAGACTACCTACAAGCTCCTTGAGGGCAGAACTGCCTTTTGCCTTCTTGTATCCCCAGAGCCTAGCACAGTACCCACCACATAGCAGGCACTGAATGTTTATTGACTGATTCAGTTAAACTCCATTCCTGACAAACTGCAGACATTTTCTCCCTAGGGATGTTATTTGGACACTCCCGCTATTACTAAATAGCAGTTGATGAACTCAATGGCTGGAAAAGACAAGAACAGATTATACAGGCCTTTGAAAAGGATAAAGCACTAACAAAATGGAGACCCATTGAAAAGTACAGCTGGAAAGGTTCATAGCATGAGTGAGAATAGCAAGAACACCCACGCATCCAGTCCAAACTCATTTTACTGATGTGGAAACTGAGGCCCAAAGAAATCTGCTTAAGTTCCCACAGTTAGGTGGTAGAGCTGGAAGTCCTTCCAGGTACTGATTCCAAACCCAGTGCCCAGTACTACATCATGCTTTCACTCGGATTACTTAATCCATCCCCTTCACGTTACAAGAGAAAACTGAGCCCTAAAAAGAAGTGACTTGTCCACAGCCACACAACCAGTTGGTTAATGAGATAGCTTAGTGGTCACTTTTTTTGTGTAGGATGAACAGGGATAAATTACCTTGCGAGGCAACCTCCACAGGTTGGCTGTGCTCAGCCTGAGGTTTCCATCATTTTCTAAGGCAGAGATTCTTAACCTAGGTCTGCGAACTCAGATGCAAAACCTAAGCCCCATCATTCAAACATAACCAGTTTTCTTTGTAATCTCGGACTTGACTTTATACATTTAAAAACACTATTTTAGGAGGTCCACAGATTTGCCACGGGAGCCACGAGACACATGAGACAAAGATGCTGAAGAAGCCGCCCCCCTCCCCCCTCCCCAGAGTACCCGAGCATAGGGACTGTGGCCTAATGCTGGACGTGGAAACAAAAGGATTAGACCCAGATCCCAGCTTAACCTTTTCTCAGGCAGCCTCGGGCAAGTCAGTTAGCCGCACTGGGCCTGTGAACTTTTAGGCCACACTTCATTTTCTCTCCCACATCTACATATCCACCAACAGCCAGATTCAGCCACAGCCTTTTGGCCTTCAACAGAACTCAAGTCACGTCTTTTTAACAATTTTCCCTCTTTCCTTGCTGGATGCTTCACTTTAACCACTCCAAAACCCACCAGCTGTTTCAAGCTTTAGGTGTGTATCACACCCTACTTATACAATCTGATATCCAACAGGATACTGTTTTATGTAAACTTGGTATGTATCTCTCTGTGCCTAGTAGTAAAACTGGCAGTCAGACTTTAAAACAGACCTTTGATTTCATTGCATTGGTGAGAAAACATCCTCTCTACCAGCACAGACTAGCAACCATTTTTGGAATTTAGTATCATTTGTATGTCTCAGGGACAGGACTTAAATTCAGGGCAATACTGCCTGCACACTTTTACTGACTGCAAAATGAGGTCACTCATACACCTAAGTGGTGTTAAGATCTGCTTTCTGATTCTTTTATCTCCCTCTATGTTTATGGAACTTCTGCTGATTAAAAAAGTTCCAGGAAAAAGATCTCATCCCTATAGTTTTCCCCCAATTAATTATACCTGGGCAGAGTAGTTTAGTTTGCAAAACATCCTTATCTCGCATTACCTTATTGCAAATTTACAAACCTATGTATAGCTAATAGCTAACATTTATATAGTACCTACTATGTGCTAAATGCTTTACAAACATCTCATCTGATCCTCAAAAAAAACCTTTCGAGGTAGATGCTGTCATTACCCCCATTTTACAATGGAGGAAACCAAGGCAATAGAAAATGAAGTGACTTGCCCAAAGTCACCGTCAGTGGGTGTCTGAGACTGGATTTGAATTCAGGGCTGCTGGATTTGAACCAGCTCTATCTTTTGTGCCACCTAGCTGCCTCTAGGTAGAGCATTTATCATCCTCATTCCAAACCCAACAAGCATTCAATGCCTACTATGTGCTAATTAGGGATTACCCTGCCCTCAAAGGCTTTACTGATGTCAGATGGAGAAAGCATAAGGACCCCAGCAACCACTAAATAATATAGCAAAAATGAAATTAGTTAAGCTTTAAAGAGACAGGAAACAAATCACTACTGATGCGGGAGTCACTCCTGAATCAGTTGTCTGATGGTGGAAAACACATCAACTTCTTGGGGCAAAAATAAAAATACAAGACAAGAAAATTTTTTAAAAATATGATATGCAAAAAAAAAAAAAAAAGATAGGCAAAAATGACTCCATCTTGACCTTTAAAATAAGCTACTGATATTGAAAGATAGACAGAGGAACAGATATTGACAACAATTTTCTAAAAAGGTTTAATCAATGCTAATCGAATGCCAGCCGAGGTCAAGTGGTCACCAGGCAAAGGCTGGAAGGCCTCATCAGCTGTCATGTCAAGAAGATTCCTGTTCAGCTACAAGATTAACTGACGTACCCAAGGAGACAAAGCTTGTAGCTAAGGTGCAAGGTGAGAAGTCAAACCCAAATTTCCTGTAGAGTCACAGCAACACAGGATATGTGCCCTCCATCCTTCTTATAACACACACATGCAAGCTTTAAAACACAAACACACACACACACACCCCAGAACCCCAAAACAGAGAATTTTATTTCACCAAGTCATCTAAGATTCTCCACTGGGATGGCTCTTGGCAATGGCATCTCTCATCATTGACATGGCCCCAACCACAGCAAGCCAACTCCTGAAAGCTGAAAAGCCTCAGGAGGTGGTGGTCAGGGCAATTTGGTATCAAAGGAGCAGATCCCAAAGCCCTCCCCTCTAGTCTGTCAGTTTTCTGTCTTGCCCCCACCTCCCATTCTCTCCTCAAATCCCTCTGGATGCCCCCAAACCAACTCTAAGCCACCCCCTTCTGGCATCTAGCCAAAAGAAAACACTGAGCTAGTCTCTTAGGATTAGGGCAAGAAGGTAGCAAAGAATCTCCCAGAGTGCTGTGGCTGCATTCGGGGAAGAGGGTCCCAACAACCTAGGAAAAATAGACCTTTTTCCTTCCTGCTCAGCTACAGAAGGATTCCTATTAAGAGAAAGAAACCACTTCAGGCGGCTGAGGCAAGAGGTTGTCCTAGTGTTACCCAAGCTGGGAAAGGCTTTTGAAGAGTTTCCCCGTTTCTGTCTCAGATCGATAATCACAATAACCAAAAACCCCAAAGGGCACACAAGGAACACCATTCCTAGGACACAGGGATGCCGAAATCTCAGTTGATTCCCAGGATTTTGCAAATTCCTCACCACCAGAGGGAAATGAAGAAATATTTCTCTACCCCTTTATGTACTTTTTGGGAAGGAGGAGGAACAAGGAGAGGTAACTAGATGTGGGAACAGACAGTCCCGATTATCATTTTTTAAAAATTTAAATATAATCTAAAAAAATAAATGGCTGTCTCCTTATGACTCTACAGGACCCCAGGCACAGAAGCTTGGTGTCTCAACTGCTCAGCTTTAACAGATCAAACCTGCTACATACAGGACTTATCTTCTCACAAACCAAGGGGTAGGTAGGTATGGATTTATAGGAGTTTCGCCTTTTTTTCCTCAAATCTACTTGTTGGCACCACTGAGATCAGGAACTGTAACTGGCTCTGAGGGTACAGTGTGGTGCAAGACCTGATGGTCCCAGCCCACAGTCGTGAGCAGAAAGTGGTTGAGTGGGGACCACGTAGCATCTCTCACAAAGTCTCTGTGGGCTCGGCTTCTGAACCTGGAAAGGAAAGAGAACGTAGAGCACGGCATAATGGTAAAGGACTAAAGTAAGGAAGAAACTCGATTTAGATGGGTCTGGAATATGTCATTTGAAGAGGGCATATTATACCATCTTACAGTAACACCCACTGGCCACAGAATCAAAGAATTTTAAAGCTGGAAGTGTGTGTTTAAACTATCGTGTCTAACCTCATCATGTTAAAGAAGAGGAAAAGTGAGGTCCAGAAAGAAGTAATTTGTCTAACGTCCCAAAGCCAGTGGCAAAGTGAGGATTAGAACCTGTGCTGGTTCCTGGTCTGGGGCTCTTACCAGGATACCCAACTGCTGCTCCCAATACGTAGGCATGTTCATGGCACAAATATTTGTCTTTTGGAAAGGAAGAGTCTCTGTAACTCGTGCTTCGACTTATGTTGGGAAGGCCCCAAGAGTTAGTTAATCCCCTTCCCACCCCTCACCCTTGCCGATGCAAAGTGCTGGTTTCAGGTGGACCCCGGTCCTTGCAAGCTCAAATATCCCTCCTTTCTTCATCATACTAACAGAGGTAACGGGGACAGACCTTCCAACTGGTTTTTTTTGAAAGGGAAACTAAAGCCCTGCTGTATGAGCCCTACCCCAAGGATGGTAGGGACCCGAGCAGTCATGTTGGCTAACCCACACCCCAACAGGAATTCCTGTGCCAGGCCCACGATTCCATTTTATACTTACACCTCTGCAAGGCCAGAGTCAAGCACAGCTACGGAACAGTCTTCACTGAGAGACGCCAGGAGGGGACTACTGTAAGGAAGACAGGGCAAGAACAGCAGAGTTGGCAGCTCCCCCACTAGCCAAAAGGAGGAGGTGCTGGGCCACTGTTCACAGCCTTCAATATGGCATCAGGAAAGCTGGAGAAGGGATGGGACTAGAACTGAGGATGGATCCCTGGGCCCACACCCCGCCTGCAGCTTCCGCCGAAACAAAGTTTCCCCCTCTACACCAACTACAACTAGACACACAGTAAGGATGGCAGTCCTCCCTAGCTCCCTCAGCGATCTGACTACAACCCAAATAACTAGTCCTGGTGGTGTTTTGCTCAGCTCTCACAGTCACAGCAGTCTGGGCCTCAGAGACCACGTGACCAGCCAGGACAGGACTTGTTTCTAGAGTTCTACCTGTAAACACTGATCCTCTGGACCCCACTAACAACACCCAGGGCACATATGTGGCTATCGAGGGCAGAAAGACCACTACCTGTCTTGAGAGAACACAAGCTTTGTGATGCTCTGGGAGTGCACAGAGGAGCTGAGGGTAGTTTTAGGGTTCTTGATGTCCACAAGGAAGACAGTGCCATTCTCATCACCTACAGAAAAAGAACCAAGATGGCATCTGTGTGAAAGGCCTCACTGCTCTTTTCAGCCCAGAATCAATACTCAATTACCTATTTTCTACAGCGCCTCTCTGTGGGTTTCCCGTGGCCTATCTCAAATCCAAACTAGCCCCTTAACCAACTTTTGCCCACCCCACAGAAGCCCCTTGGTCGGTCATAAGCTTTCATGTACTCAGGGGTGGCTAACATAAAAGAAGGCACAAACAATCATGAAGGAGAGGCTGCTGTGGGGAGAAATTACAGTGCTCTCCGAAGGCCAGTCTAAATCCCTTCACGCTTGCATCCCTGATGCAAATGGTCCAATAATCATAAATCACGAGAGGCCTCCTGGGCCCATAGACACAAAAGTACAAGAGGCAGGATAGTTACAGCAAAGGAACACAAGAGGACAACCACCTCAGCCCCAGGGCTTGATATCCTTAAGAAATAAGCACCAAGACTTCTTACCAAAAGTGAAAACTTTTTCCTTCTGAGGATGCCAGGCCAGTGAGGTAGGAAGGTGGTGGGAGGCACTTTGGCCTGAGGAAGTGAGAACAGCAGAGAGAAATGAACAAAACCAAGAGGATATTATATATGGTAACAGCAACGGTATTCAAAGAGTAACTGTGAATGACTAAGCTATTCTGAGCAATATGATCACTGAAATCAACTACAAAGGACTTATTCATCTACCTCCAGAGAAAAGACTGATAAATCAAAGTATGTATTTTATGGTTCCACATATATATCTATATCAAATGTTCTCTAATCCAGGGTTGGGAGGGAAGGAGACAATTTAGAACTCCAAATACAACAAAAATAAATACAAGTTTTAAAAGTGAGAACAAGAGAACTGAAAATCCTTAGTCAGAAAGTCCAACTGTTCTCCTCCCCAACTGCATTAATAGATACACTCTCCTCTGATCATATACTTCCAAGACACTAGCAAGAAAGGTAAATTAATGAAATGAGTCTCCTCCCCCTCTACCCTAAGAGGACTCAGTCCAGTCCCCCATCCACCTACTATCGTGATGAATGAGACTGGACCTGTCCAAGAAACCAGGGATCTCCTTTCTCTGCCACTTAGGGGGACTGGATTAACAGAAACCCACAGTAAGGTTCCGGCAAACTACAGGACAAATCCAGCAGCCACTTTTTATACAGTCCTCTCGAATTAATAATGATTTTTGCATTTTTAGTGTATTTACAAATATAAAAAAATCATTCTTAGTTCCAGGGTCCATACAAAATGAGGTGGCTGCCATAGTTTGCTGACCTCCGTCCTAGAGGGTAGAGAAGGTTGTTTCACTGTAAGAGACCTGTTGATCTTTGACAGCCAAAGTCACCGGGCCTTTCCTAACACCACCATTCGGACTCACCAACATGTGAAGCTGGCTTGGGGCACCGGATATCCCAAAGTAAAATTCTATTGTCCTAGAAGTAATAACAGAATAAAATGCTTCAAGATCAGCATGATGTAATGGAAAGAACATTGGATTTAAAATCAGAAGTCCTGAGTTCATATCCCAGCTCTGACACTTTCCACCTGTGTGACCTAGGGGCATTTTCCCCTTCTCTGGGCCTCAGTTCCTTGAATGTAAAATAAGGGTCTCTCCCAGTTCCTAATCTCTAAGATGACCACTTTAGGCTCAAACTGTACTGAGTCTGCTAAACACTTTAGATATGGGCCAAGGGAGAGTATCATCTTACCTCACTGCATGACAGGAACTTAGACTCCTTGTAGGGACAAGCAGCAACACAGGAGACTTGGCCAGAGTGACCTATGAAGGAAAGGTGGGCCACATCATCACAACCACATAAGCACAGAGGCCAGACCAAACTGGCACCAGCAAAAAAAAAACTACTTGGCCTCAAATGGCATTCTCAATTACCATGTTTAAAGACGTGGACAAGATACAAGCAGAGAACTGGGATGAGTTTGCAGAAAACAGAGAACCAGATGGATCACAGCCACTAATTAAGCCAGAAGGCTGCCCATCACACGTCGGAGGATATAGGCTCCAACCCCACCTCAAGTCCTTCCTACTGTGAACTCGGGCTTGAGATCCCCCCTCTCTAAAACAAAGGTTAGTTCACATGGTTCACACAGAGATCCTTTCAGCTCTAGGTCTATCTAGGACCCTCAGCTGCTTCCCCTGGAGGAAGTGGAGAATGGTGGAGACTCCTGTGAGGCTTCAGGCAGAACATCCAAGCTTTAGGATGGGAAGGGCACCAGAAGCATGGTGCGGAGGCTGAGAACCGAGAAAACATCCTCTCCTTAAAGCAGAAGGATGAATATGTGATTTCCTAATGGCCCTGTGGACTCTGATGAGGCCTTACCCATCAATACACAAAGCTTTTAGCATGAAAATCTAATCCAGAAACTCAAAGGAACCAGGATGGCAAAGATAGAAGTGGGGAGGGGAGGCAAAACTCACCTCTATAGGAGTTCAGCAGTTTCTCTCCAGGGAGGTCCCAAACTTTTATGCTAAAGAGAAAAAAAAAACCCTACATTCATTCCTAAACAGAAAGTTTATAAAAGCACATGTTCAAGTACAGGGAATAAAATATAGTTTAGAAAAATTCGAGAGGTTTCCACTTTACGCAATTCCTTATCTGGAATGCTCATGCTAAAGTCGGTGAGGATGGCCTGCTGTTTCCAAAGTGTCCTTGTATTCTGAAAGTCTCAATTATTATCCAGGTTCTTTTAATGAACGATCCAGCATTATTTTGTGGGGCGAAAAGGGGTATGAGCAAGGATAAGAAGAGGAACTCACCAGAAGTCCTTGCTGCCACTGATGGCCTGTGTGCCATTCATCAGAACGCTAACACTGGTCACTATGTCATCATGTTCATACTTGCAGAACTTGTTGACGATGAGTGTCTCACCCTCATCCAGTTCCCACAGTTCCACAGCACCTAGAAGATGTGGGGGCTGGAATTATTCCAGGTCTACAGATTCACAGGGCAGCAAAGTTCACTCATCTAGGACTCTGTGGACCCGCCTATGGCTCGTGTTCTATAGAGCAACAAAGCAAATTAATCTTCAGTAAGCACAACTACAGGATGACAGCAATTCCCATCGTCATATGATTTTATATTGGGGCTCGTTTCCTAGAAGAATGGTCTGACCAAAAAAAGAAGAGGGAAAGGATAGAAGGGAAAACGGTTATTGGCCTTCTGGTAGAAAAGAAAAATTAAAGAACCAGCTCCCAAAGGGAAAGGAATCTGTAACCTTGGGGTCTTCCATGCAGATCTCTGGCCTGTGTGACTAATCAATCTAGCTTGAAATCTTGAAAACGTTTGTCTCGGGGACCAGGGAAGATCAGTCATGAACATGAGACAAGTCAGAGGCTAAAAAACAAGAACGCTTATGGAAAGTTCAGTCTTTGATACCCCTTTTCTATCTATCCAAACACCAAAATCACAACTGAAAATGACCCTCTCGCCAGAGGACAGAGGAAGCAGCCCCCTCCCCTCCTCTCTTTAGAGAGCCAGGGGACTGGGCCTGTGGAATGTTTCCTGAGCTGTTGGGCCCGGTCAGTTGGCTTCACTTAACTGTTTTTCTCTGTTACCAGGGAAAATTCTGTGGGGGAGGGGAGATCACTGGGAAGTGGCTGTGGTGTAGGAAGCAAAAAAAGCATCAATAAAACATTTGTTCAAACACTCAGCTGAAAAGATTGACATCCAGAGTTGGAATGGGCAGGGGAGGGGTCCATGACAACCAGGAGCAGCAAACAACCCCTGGCTGGGGGGCTCCTGGCGGGCAAACCGGGCTTTCTATGCCCAAAGCCTGGCACACGGCTCACCCACAGCAGGGAGCTGGGATCTTCACAAGCCAGCTGGGGGCAATTCAATTCAACAAACTTTCCGTGCACAACCCCAAGATGAGATGGCTCCCAGGGGCTCATACTCCACCTCCCGGCCGCGTGGACAAGCCCTTCCACGGTCTGGACTTCAGCTTGCCCCGGGGTACCTACCTGGGGGCGGCAGGTCGGGCTCCGACCTAAGGATGGAGCTTTGCCCACAAAGCCGGGGCACCTGTCAGTGGCTCTCGGCGTCATCACGTCCCGAGAGCAGGTGAGGGCGAAATCGGAAGCTGGGACCCCGCCCCGGCCAAACGGCCCCCTCGGGGGGTACTCACCGGAGTCGGAGCCCACGAAGATGCCACGGTCCCCCACCCAGGCGAGGTCGGACAGCCCGGCTTCGATCTGGACTCCGGCCGAACAGAAGCCCTCGTTGGGGGCCGAGAGGGGGTCCTTGAACAGCCACAAGGAGCCGGCCCAGCTGCGGCCGCTGAGGCTGGACGCGCCCAGAAGCAGGGAGCCATCTGCGGGAAGAGAAGGCGGCCGGGCCGCGGGTGAGCGCGGCCGGAGGCGGGGAGAGGGTGCGGGGGGCGGGGGGCAGGCCGGGCCGGGCCGGGCCGGGCCGGGGTCGGGCGGGGCTCACCGGACCGGTAGCGCACCGCCTCCAGCTGCCGCTCCATACAGGCCGGCGCGTTGGGAGGCAGGTTCCATTCCTGGGAGGCGGGAGGCAAGTATATCGGCGGAGGCACCGGCGGGTCCGGCTGCGGCTGCTGCGGCTGCGGGTCCGGCGGTGTCTGCGACTCCTCCCGCATCTCCAGATGGCTCCGGTTCTCGTCCTCTTTCGGTCCCGGGCTCCACTCCCCACGTGGTGTCCACTCGGGCTCCCCGCCCCTCTCCGGCCGAGAGGCCGGAGCCCCCGCTTCTCGCGAGACTCGCCTCCCCGGCCCCGCCCCCTTCGCTTTCCGTTAGCCGCTGGGTTCTAGTTAAGCTATGTTCTTCGTTCTCCCGCCTCCCCCCCACCCTTCCGCCCCGGCTTCCGTTTTGCTCTCGCGACAATTGGGGCTGGAGACGGAAGGAGCGGAGATTGGACGAGTAGGAAAAGCATTTGCCCTCCCCCTCTCGCGAGGTTTGCTCTCCGCCATCTTAGTTCGGCGACTGGCAAGGTTTCCCCGCTGGGGTCACAGGGACGCGGAGGCTGCCGAACGGACCCTCGCTCAACATGCTGTCCCGGCTGGCGCTGCACGCGGCCAGCGTCGTGGGTGAGGAGCCCGGCCGGGAGTCACGGGGTCGGAGCTGGGGAGGAGAGTGTCCTTGGGGCGGCGGCCGCGGCAGGGGCTGGGGGAGGACCCTGGAGGGGTCGCTGGGAGCCACGGGAAGGGAGGCCTGGGACCGCGACTCCCGCTGACCCGAGCTCTGTGTCCTCACAGCTCCGGCGCTCAAGAATGCGGCCCCGCTGGCTCCGGGGTAAGTACCGCCCCCCGCCCTTGGCTGGGACGCTGACCGGGATCCTGCCCAGCAACCCGGGAGCGCTGGGCTGGATCCGGGCTTCCATCCCGCCTTCGACGCCCGCACGGGCAAAGCGCTTAATTCATCCGAGCCTAGCCTCAGTTTCCTTCCCAGTACGAGGAGGCGGCTGCCCCGTAGGCTCTCTGGCTGATGCTCCGCCACGCTCAGCCCCGGGTTGGAGACCTAGCGTTCTCGAGGTCGGCTTCTCCACTCGTGACCTTGGACTGCCAGGCTTCTCTGCCTCTCCCTCCTTCAGGTCCGAGTCCCCAGCATAGCCCGGGAGGGCAGGGCAGGGTAGGGTAGATAGAGTCCGTGGCCTGGTTGGGTCTCCCAGGTGCACCCTGAGCGTTCAGTTACTGTTAAAGGCAAAAGTTGATCTAGCAGTCTTGTATTTGCATGTTTTAAAAAAAGGTCAGTTTTTATATGTTTTCTTGTAAAAAAGAAAAGTAGAAGCAATGTAGCCTAGTGGTAAGAGAGCTGTTCTTGAAGACAAGAAGACTTGGGTTCAGGTCCCACTTTGACAGCTACTGGCTCCCTGACTTGGGGAAAATCACTCGGTTTTTCTGTGCTCTAGACTCTCTCCCAAGACGGGACTTTGAGTTGCAGAGAGGGTGCTTACTTGGACTGTTAGAAGGAGTTTCCTCATCTGGGAATTCCGTATACTGATGAAGTCACAAGTTTGGTCCTTATCCTTATTCCATTTTTTTTTTTTAACGTACCTGGAGGATACATTCTTGCTGACCTGAATGTTGGTATAGTTTTAGAGGTGAAAGAGGACACATAGTGACACATAGAGGACATTAATGATAGATAACAGATCTAGAGTAATTAGAAAAGAATTGCTTGCAGAGAGCAAGCATGGCTACATTAAGACTGCCAAACTTGTTGAGTCACCCTATTTTAGTTTTTTGTTGTTAATAACTTTAACTGACAATCAAATAAGCAAAATCTTACCTAAGATCAGGCAGTTTATACTTGTTTATTTTATTTTTTGATGGGGTTTATTAAACTGTTGAATTAAAGGAGCATTCTAGGCGTTTTATATCTTGTTTTTGGTCAGGCATCATAACGGTTGGCCAAAAAGACCAAAGAATGTTGCTCATATAATCATAGTTAAGTGGATCCTTGAACAGTTATTATAGCAAGAGAGTATAGATGAATGTATATGTGTCCATTTGGATGGCGATCATAGTGGTGTGCAGGCAGGCTTTGCTCTTGCCCGTGTCATGATAACTTCCAATTCTTTCTTCCTGAGGCTGTTTAAAGCCACTTTTGGAAAAATAGCATGTGATTGTTAGCCCTTTCCCCTCGGTTTTTTATTTGTTTATTTTTGCATGCTGCCACAAAAAAAAGCTGGACCTGCCTGCACCTGGTATAGCATCAGTTCGGAGTCCAGAGAGACCCATGTCTGGTCTCTGACATTTGGAAGCTCTGTGAATTTAGGCAAGCCTCTTAACTTCAATGAGTCTCAGTGAGCATATGCCTTCTAGTCCTGTTCACTACTACTAACTAGCCATATCTCCCTACAGAGCATATCTGCAGTATCTCCTTAAGAATGTTTGTTGTGAAATTCAAATACAACATTTTCTAAACCTTTAAGATACTGGCCAAACATCAGGTATCATTTAAGGTTTTGTTTTGTTTTGTTTTTTTTCCAGAACCATAAATGAAAGACATGGAAGGAATACTTACTAAATAAATCAGCTGGCAAATAGCTAATGTTAGACCAAATATAGATTACTCCCTTAAGAGGATAAATTATCGAAAGTAAAGAAACATGTAAACTGTGAAAACAGTTATTCTACCCTAGCCCTCCATCATATTTTAAGATACAGAGTTCTTATTCCGGATCATCTGTAGACTTTTTACAACCAAACAGGAAACTAACACAGACAGACCACTCTGATTTGCTCTCACTTCACTAATTTTATTTCTAAAGCAACCTTCATTCAATTGAAAGATTAGAAACACTACTGCTCTTTTGAATCTGCAACAGAGATGCCTCCTTCCTGTACCCACTCCTGTCTGTGATACAACATTCCTTGAGAAGCCACCCCAAGGTCACAGGGAAATGGCCCGAGCTATGCAGGACGACCTAGGAACACTGGGAAGAGGGACATTCTGCCTGCCTGCCTTTCTTGCTTCTCCCTAGCCTCATGTATATGAAGAGGAGGGAGAATTAGGAGCAGGATGTATGTAAATTCTGACATGAAAGTGTGAGGAGAAATCTTCATTCCTTATGTTGTCCCGACCAGCACTTGCCTAAGAGCACTCAGATTTTATCCATGCTAGGTTTGGAGGAAAAGTAAAATGTACATTCAGATGAATAGAGCATTTAGGATGATAGGATATGGTTTCAGAAAAATCCATATAGTCTGAAAACCCACAAGATGAAATTTAACTGATTTAAATGTGAAAAAGCCCTGCACTTATCTTGAAAAGATTATTACAAGCTTAGAATGGAAAACACAAGGCTTGTTATCATTCATGAGGGGAAGAAAAACCTAAATGAGGTTGTGGATCAAAAAGTAATTCAGCACTGATCAGTGTGTACAGACACACACACACTTGTGCCTCTTGAAGATATTAACCTAAAGAGTAAAGCTCAACACACAAAAAGCAGTTTAAGAAATCAGGAGTGTTTAGTCTGGAAAAGGGAATTTTGCACAGAAAGAATAGGATAGTTCTCTTCTAATATCTCTGGGAACCTTCTGGAAGAGAGATTATGTTCATGTTCTTGAATTCAAAGGAGAGAACTAGGACCAATGGGTAAAAAAAAAAGCCAGATATTCACTCAATAGAAAGAATTCTTAAGAATTAGAGCTGTCCAACATGGAATTTAGATCGTAGGGGGGTAGAGAACCTGCAGCCTCGAGGCCACATCTTGCCTTCTAGGTCCTTGGGTGCAGCGTTTTGACTGAGTCCAAGTTTTACAGAATAAATCCTTTCATTAAGGGGATTTGTTCTGTGAAGTTTGGATTCAGTGAAAGGGCCGCACTTGAGGGACCTAGGGGGCTACATGTGGCCTCAAGGCCGCAGGTTAGAAAGATAACAGACCTCCAGTTGTGTGGGATGTGTTCAAAGCCAGGCGATCAAGAGATGTTGAAAAAAAAGAACCATATGTTGGTAAGCAGTTTGGATTAGTTAACCTCTGTAAGGGAGATATAGCTAGTTAATGGTAATGAGTGAGACTGGAAGGCAGATCTATGCTCCATTCAGTACTGTCTCCATTCTGCCTGTTGGGAAAACTAGCGTCAGCCCCTCTTTGATAGCAAGAATTTCTACTGAAATTACGTGTACCATGTTATTTATTAGAAACAATTCTTGGTTTATATAAACCACATTATACAAATTTAAAGACTCCTGAAAGAAATTAGCATTCTTTAAAAAAAAAAAAAAAAACCTGTTTTAACTTTACTGTGCTCTCCGCTCTTGCCCCTGCCCCAAAGCTCTGCATTCTGTGGCCTTCCATCTCCCCCACCACCAAAAAAAACCCTCCAAGTGAAAACAGAGAAACAGACATGTGGACCCTTCTGCCGCCAGTGGATCAGGGGCTTGGCTTAAGACATACAACGTGGAGAGAGGAGATCTTTGCCCCACTCCATCCAGCGCCCTTGTGTCTGTCATTCTGTGCTTGGGTACCATGTGTCTGGAACTGGCCCCAGTGTGTGTCCATGTCCAGCTCCCATGTGTCTGCCCCCCACATGTTGTTTCTCTCAGTTCTGACCAGGCCCCCAGGTGACTGGCCCCAATCCCTAAGTGTTTCTTCTGCTCTCATTACTTTGTCCACGGCTCCCATGTCCTTGCACCTTCGCTAGCCCCCTCCCTCCAGGGCCATGTGGCCCCCCTTCCCTGTGTGTTCAGACAAATAAGATCTAGGGAACATTTGATTTATGTAAAGTAAGAACTGTGTGTATGCCACTTTTGCTCTCCACAGGGTGCTTCAGGCAACCAGAATTTTTCACACAGCTTCTCCCCATCTGGCTCCTTTGCCTCCTCTTCCTGAGCATGGAGGGAAAGTTCGTCATGGATTGATTCCTGAGGAATTCTTTGAGTTTATGTATCCTAAAACTGGAGTTACAGGTAAGCAAACTTTCCTGCAGAGATGATTTAGTCTGATGTTTGCAATAGCAATAGTTTTGGGTGCATGGCTTTGGTATCATTTCTGCCTTTTCGTTGTACCTTGTTAATTTGTTTGGATAACCAAAAACAAAAATTGGTCCTTTTCTATTTATACTCTCCTTTAAAGGTTGTAACCTGTTTTTTCTTGACTTATTCTAACTAAAAGTGGTTGCTTTGACCATTTCATAAAGCCTGATATTGTTTTCTTCATCCATTAAAGTATTTAAGGGCATACCATATGCATAATAACTTCTTTGATGTATAGAAGATAAAGT